ATTTCATTATTTTTTAATCACATATTTCACATCAATACACTATTCAAAAATTATTTTTCCCATCAAAATGGGGCTTAATAAGAGATAATTAGGGCTCTAAGTGGGTACCCAGGCATGAAATTAGCATGCCAAAAATTAAAATGATCAGACATACAAAAATTGGAATTATTCTGGGCGGTTCAATAAACTGATACCCTTCATCCATGCAAGAAGTCCCGTAGAGTACGAAAGTACACTCTTGTGTCGTATGATACTGTAGGCAATTGATGAAATGACGCTTTTGCCCCTTAGAAATTCATTCAAAAATCAATCATGCTACACTACCATCAACGGTGACATAAAAGTTGACATAATATCACGTAACATTTTATCATTAAACAGTTTAAAACGCATCAACCTTTTCATTTAATTATCTATTACCACATACAATTATGTATTGGAAAATAAGGGGTTGGAGAAAAAACAATAGAAAAATTATAAAAACAAAATGAATAGAAATCACGAAATATGTCAATAATGAATTTGAGGCTTGAACACGGGATCGTTGTCCTCAAATTATATTTGCCCCCTCTCCAGATGCTTAAGGGTGTTATGGCAAATGATTTGAAGGATTTTAACAAGCCTTGATGCAAAAAATAACAAAGCACGAGAAATTTTCCGTCAAAACTTGATGAACACAATAAAGAAGAAATGAATATAAGTTATAGAATGGATTTGATTAATTGTGGAACAATGTATGTATTTCTTGTTTTTAATTATGTTTGTATTGATCTTTCATCACTATTTATAGGCCTCAATCAATACATCACGAAATGGTGCCAAAATAAGATAAAAAGTGGCAACTTTTAATCCAAAACGGCTTCCAAGTTTCAAATTGAAAAATCAACCAACGGCTATTTTTTAACACTATGCGTACGCATAGTATAAACCTTGCGTACGTATAGTAGAAGCAAAATCAATTCTGATTTTGAAAAAGCAAATCTCGCGTACGCACAAAAATAAGCCTGTGCGTATGCATAGGCAAAAATTAAAATTTTCATTTTTCAATTTCTTTTGATTTTATCAATTCCATAATTGAGTCCAACAATTAATTCATCATCATTCCATTGATTTTGAACAAATATTCAGTATTATGTTAAGTTTTTTATCAAATCATGCTGACAAAGTTTTTTATCAACATTATGCTCTACAATACCAATTAAAATATTACTTTTGCCCCTCAGAAATTCATTCAGATATTTTTGTCGTACCAGTTAGAATATTGTGAAACCTATAAAAGTAAGTCCTCTTCATCTAAAACTCTCTCTTTCTATATATGAATTAATGAAGATGAAATCGCGGTCAGCAAGGAAACCCCAGATGGTCTCTAACCCGGAAATGGACGCGGCCTTGCAGCTGATTCAACTCAGCGGCGATTCCGATTACAGCAAAGAAAACCACGGCGGTCACGCCACCAAATCGGTGGAGCAAAACCGAGAGGAAAGCGTGGGTGATTCTAATGAAATTTCCTCCACCTTTATCAGAGAACTGAAGACTTGTCCCAAAAGAAAAAGGAGATATAGATCAATTGATGATCTATACAGCGTTACGAAGCCCGTGATCATCAAGAAGCGTGGTAAGAAAATCAGGAATTGAAATATGCCCCTTTCATCTTTTGAAGACCAAGAGATAATTTCCTCCTTTTTTTCCCCTATTAGATATGTGCTGTAAATAAATGTACAGAAGATGAACAAACTGGAAAAATAAACTATAAAGTTAGCCAACAAGCTCTAATTGTTTGTGCTATTTCTTTTTTTCCTTTCTGCCGGGAAACATTTAAGAGTTTTTTTTCTAAATTATCATAATCGGCACGTCGCAAAGTTGGTTTTTTGGCATTCAAATAATCAATATTTTTGGGTGCTGGAGGAATCAACACACATAGTAACACGCAATATTGTGTACTCGTGTAACTCGTCTACAGGAAAATTCTCAAAATTCATTTTCAGTTAATTTACTAGAAGAATCTATTACCGAAGAAACGTGTTCATTTCTTATCCATTTGCAGAATCTGTATAACCCTTTTATTTTTCATAAAGGTTTGAGAATAAATATCCCTGCATGCATAGGTATAGTTCAGAGAGTTTCTTGAAACTCTTATTTGTCATTTTTATATTATTACATCCCATCTTGCAAATTTTGGGCTTGTCACAAATTTGGACACCTGTTTTCTAACAAAATATTATTTTCCTTTACTTCGACTAGTGGGATTCATGTCACGTATGCTGTTGGACAACACTTTTAACGATTCTAATTTCACTTTCTTCCTTAAAGGCTACTCTAATAAAAAAAAAATATGTACTGGGATATTTCTTCGTAATGTCCTAAACAACTATTCTATTTTATGTACAGTTACAGTTCTTGGTAATAATGTGTTTGTAACAACCAGTCCAGTCGTTTTCTATTTATTTGGACCATTCCACTTTTGTTCGTCTGTTGGGTCACAATTGCATCATATTCTTTCCGAGTCCCTAGAAAGAAGGGTCACATCTTCACATTAGCAATCCTGCAGGTATAAAATTAGAACGCAGCTTCTGTTATTGACAATATGGTTATCGTCGTCACTGCGAAACTGGTCATTCCAACACATTCAGCCATCTGATTAACTCAATGAAAATACATTTGAAGCAAAAGCGAAATGAACTAATCACATTTGAGTCTACACTTCCAGCAATTGAATGCCTTGCCGGCGTATCCGAGCAAGTGCACATTGGCTTGATTAACTATAACAGTGAACGCTGATGAAACAACTCAAGGTTTTGGAACAAAAACTAGATATCATTTTACATTTATAACGTATTCGAGCAGGTGCTCATTGGCTTGATTAACGATAACAGTGAAGACTGATGAAACAACTCAAGGTTTTGGAACAAAAACTAGATATCATTTTACATCGTCCAGAGCTGATCGGAACTGATATATATAACTGAGTGTAAAGGATTAATGCTCAAGATTGAAAACGTATTCCGTCAAGCGCTGTAATTTACTGGAATCCAGTTTCTGCTCTGTTGCAACAGCCTGCTTCTTCACGGTTAGCATTTGAGAGGAGGGATCCAAGGTCCAACCACGTTGTAGCGTATCTGCAAGTAACCGAGAAGTGTTAGCACAAGTTAGTAGTAGCATTCATTTCCATTCCACCAATTTACCGTACAAGGGACGAGTTGCATTCAAGCTGATTAAAGTGCCATTTTTCAACAGTTCCAAGTTTGGTAAGAGTTAAGGACAATGAAAGATCCTATAGAAACATTAAAATTACTTTAAAGATAGGGAAATGATAATTATATACATGGTGAGGAGTGTCAACAATGACATTAAAATTCTCTCGTCATCGGTCAGTGTCATAAAAATTACTTAATCTATTTCTTCATCTTAACCACCCCACCAATCCCAAAACTAGATTAAGAGGTAGGCTTTACATAATTTATCCACCCAAAATTCTACCTGCACGGTCACTGATTTTCAAATTATTTCAACCTCAATACAAAGACATTCCACTTGCAGATTAAGCCATTGTTTGAGCCTCATTTTTTCATCAAAATACATTTTTCAACAATGATTTGATTTCATTTTGACCACACATTTTTAATAAAATAATGTTACACGTAATGTCAAAAAAAAATTTTATTTTTTAAATACACATTCTTCATCATAACACTATTTCAAAATGCATTTGTTTGAGAAAAATGGGGCTCAAACAACCCCTAAACAAGCATTAACCTTTAAATTTGCACAAATGTTATAAGCCATGTGAAAAAGGATGAGAGGTTACAGTTTGCAGCATCATCAGCATTCAGTCCGAGGAAAAGAGCTGTATCTTGTGTGCTTATTGTAGAATAAGCAGAAACCAGCAGCTCAAACATCTTTTTTGTGTAAAGTTCTGCAGAAAACTCGAATTACAAAATAAAATCAAAATCAGATGCCCAGGATCGCTAGTCAAACAGCACAAAAAATAATATGGGCACTCCTTTGGCATTCAAATAATCAATATTTTTGGGTGCTGGAGGAATCAACACACATAGTAACACGCAATATTGTGTACTCGTGTAACTCGTCTACAGGAAAATTCTCAAAATTCATTTTCAGTTAATTTACTAGAAGAATCTATTACCGAAGAAACGTGTTCATTTCTTATCCATTTGCAGAATCTGTATAACCCTTTTATTTTTCATAAAGGTTTGAGAATAAATATCCCTGCATGCATAGGTATAGTTCAGAGAGTTTCTTGAAACTCTTATTTGTCATTTTTATATTATTACATCCCATCTTGCAAATTTTGGGCTTGTCACAAATTTGGACACCTGTTTTCTAACAAAATATTATTTTCCTTTACTTCGACTAGTGGGATTCATGTCACGTATGCTGTTGGACAACACTTTTAACGATTCTAATTTCACTTTCTTCCTTAAAGGCTACTCTAATAAAAAAAAAATATGTACTGGGATATTTCTTCGTAATGTCCTAAACAACTATTCTATTTTATGTACAGTTACAGTTCTTGGTAATAATGTGTTTGTAACAACCAGTCCAGTCGTTTTCTATTTATTTGGACCATTCCACTTTTGTTCGTCTGTTGGGTCACAATTGCATCATATTCTTTCCGAGTCCCTAGAAAGAAGGGTCACATCTTCACATTAGCAATCCTGCAGGTATAAAATTAGAACGCAGCTTCTGTTATTGACAATATGGTTATCGTCGTCACTGCAGAAACTGGTCATTCCAACACATTCAGCCAACCGATTAACTGAATGAAAATACATTTGAAGCAAAAGCGAAATGAACTAATCGCATTTGAGTCTACACTTCCAGCAATTGAATGCCTTGCCGGCGTATCTGAGCAAGTGCACATTGGCTTGATTAACTATAACAGTGAACGCTGATGAAACAACTCAAGGTTTTGGAACAAAAACTAGATATCATTTTACATTTATAACGTATTCGAGCAGGTGCTCATTGGCTTGATTAACGATAACAGTGAAGACTGATGAAACAACTCAAGGTTTTGGAACAAAAACTAGATATCATTTTACATCGTCCAGAGCTGATCGGAACTGATATATATAACTGAGTGTAAAGGATTAATGCTCAAGATTGAAAACGTATTCCGTCAAGCGCTGTAATTTACTGGAATCCAGTTTCTGCTCTGTTGCAACAGCCTGCTTCTTCACGGTTAGCATTTGAGAGGAGGGATCCAAGGTCCAACCACGTTGTAGCGTATCTGCAAGTAACCGAGAAGTGTTAGCACAAGTTAGTAGTAGCATTCATTTCCATTCCACCAATTTACCGTACAAGGGACGAGTTGCATTCAAGCTGATTAAAGTGCCATTTTTCAACAGTTCCAAGTTTGGTAAGAGTTAAGGACAATGAAAGATCCTATAGAAACATTAAAATTACTTTAAAGATAGGGAAATGATAATTATATACATGGTGAGGAGTGTCAACAATGACATTAAAATTCTCTCGTCATCGGTCAGTGTCATAAAAATTACTTAATCTATTTCTTCATCTTAACCACCCCACCAATCCCAAAACTAGATTAAGAGGTAGGCTTTACATAATTTATCCACCCAAAATTCTACCTGCACGGTCACTGATTTTCAAATTATTTCAACCTCAATACAAAGACATTCCACTTGCAGATTAAGCCATTGTTTGAGCCTCATTTTTTCATCAAAATACATTTTCCAACAGTGATTTGACATCATTTCAACCACACATTTTTCAATAAAAATAATATTATATGCATACCCAAAATTTTTCCTTATTTTTTAACCACACATTCTTCATCATAACACTATTTCAAAATGCATTTGTTTGAGAAAAATGGGGCTCAAACAACCCCTAAACAAGCATTAACCTTTAAATTTGCACAAATGTTATAAGCCATGTGAAAAAGGATGAGAGGTTACAGTTTGCAGCATCATCAGCATTCAGTCCGAGGAAAAGAGCTGTATCTTGTGTGCTTATTGTAGAATAAGCAGAAACCAGCAGCTCAAACATCTTTTTTGTGTAAAGTTCTGCAGAAAACTCGAATTACAAAATAAAATCAAAATCAGATGCCCAGGATCGCTAGTCAAACAGCACAAAAAATAATATGGGCACTCCTCCCTGGCCAAAAATAAAGGAATTAATGATAAAAATATGAAAGTAGAAGGTCCTCGTGACAAACGAGGATTTTTAGTAAATTTCTATGACCAGGTTTAAAAAGAATACCAATTTAATAAGCTGCCCGCCCCATGATAACACAACAAAATTGTACCACCACAGAATCAATACAATCCTTATGAGAATCATTTATTTGGTTCCCTCGTCATCCTCCATCACTCTCTATTTTTACTCATTCTTTTGTACCATCCTCCACTTGTTGCATTCTCCTTCTGCTTCCCCTTCCAAGGCATTAAGAAACAATGGAAGCACCCATAAAATGTTGTAGGCTGTAAAGAAATAGCTCAAAGACTTGAGGGCAGTGACATAATGCCAAAAAAAAGATGACACAACGACCCTGAAGCGTAAGCCTCGCTAATGGCACTCAAAGGGCGGGTTTTGAGGTGTTTCACAATAGCCTCAAGTGAGATGGGTTTCAAAGCGCAAGGCTCAAAAAAGCTTTTTTAAACAATGGTTATCAATAGAGTATCAGATAGTTTTTTTATGGGACTGCAGCACTCCATAATCTCATATTCCACACATAGATTTTCACATCCTTATGTTTTACATAACTGATGCGTCTTTTCACTTTTTTCAGCTCTCTCATTGGCTAGTTTAGTTCTCTGTTTCTGATATCCACTACATTGACAATCATCACCTTACCATATAATTGTATAACAGAGTGATATGGCATGAAAACGTCTGGTGATGCTAAAAATAATGAAAAAGCACTATGTTGTTCAATCCTTAACTTCATGCAGAATTGGAAAGTATTGTATTCCATTCTTCCATCCGTGTACAAATTTCTATAAAATTTTGCATCTGCGTAATTGTGATTGTGATTCTGCTTGTGTGTGTGTATCCCGTATAAGAACAAAGGCTGGATAAATGCGCAGTAAAATCAAAATATGAGCAGGCATCAAACTTGACATGCCATCTTACATAAACATGGAAAAGAAATGACACCACCTTCACAAATTATATATCCAATAGTTAATTGATAGCAAATGTTAACAAATATCATAACCTATATATGCGAGATGAAGGCAGTCAGTGGTCATGTTCGCCACTGATAGCACAGTATTTTTTTCCACCAAAATAATTGCTAATTCACGAGCAGAATGTTGAAGCGGACGTGGATATTAAAATCACCTGTCTGAACTAAGGGTCTGATTCTGTAGCTCTATTATACTCCTCGCACAAGCCCATTGTGCAAACTCAATAACTCAATGAGAAATCAAACAACAGCAAAATGTGAAGAATGGTACTAGACTACTGATTCCAGTTCAGATTTTTAGCTTCGTCAAACGTCGCAAGTTAGGAAATTGTGAATAATGAATCTAATTGCTATTTCGATTCTATTTACAATCAGAATGTATTGTTGCCCCAGTGCCAAAGCTTCCTTTTTAATTCTCAAATTAGTTCTCACAAGTTCAGATTGCATTTCTCTTAAGGGACTGAGTACACATGTTCAACAAAATACGCAATTGCCCTGCTAAACTATGTACCTCATATTTAAAATCTCAAAAGCTTAATCTATTTAGTGGATTTGAAATAATAATTAAATGTGCATCACATTACGTGGTCAAGTAATATTATCAATCAAACCACTGTGCCAAGTTCAGTTTGACTTAAAGATTATTTCCAGCCGATAAATCATATACGAAACAATTAATTTCAATTTATTCATACTGCAGATTTATAGTCTAGACACCCTTGCCTGAAAAAGAGGCAACAATCCCCTGAACCTCTGGACTCCAGTTGAATTCGCGAATTGCTTCATGAACACCAGCATAATCCCTTGTCCACAACTTCTGCCCAATATTCCAAGCTGCTACCACCTCAGGCTGCTACGGGGATATTGTATTGCCTGGAGCATGAGAGTGTCGCATATATCAGCAATCTGGTCGTACGATTTGGAGGCCAAAGCGTCGTTCAGCGCCGAGAAGTCCATCGATGACGGTGGAGCTATCTTCTTCTCCTCTGCAGAGGAACTTTTTCTCCTTTGTGGGAATGGCGTGTATCAGGGTCTGTCTGTAAGTGGAAACGATGGGCCAGTTTGTTGGGCCGAATGGACTTTATTCACAAATACATTTAAAAACTTTAATTCTTTTGTTTACATTTTCAAAAATCAAGGTAATTCTTGCAATTATTTTCCCCTAAAAGTTTCATTAATCACATTTCTAACTCTATAAATTTTATATTAATTAAAATCTCTAAAAATTTCAATTCATCAAAGAATTTCGAGATATTACAACGTAGCTAGTGGTCAAGCATTTATCACATATGTTTAGTCAACTTAATATAAGTTTTATCATCGTATGATAAAAATTAATTACCACATAATTAATACATTAACGAGACATAGACAAACTTAAATCATCCCCCAAAATTGGCCAAAAATTATTTATGAAATCTATTAAGTTCCAACAATTCTCTATTCAGAATCATAAAATATGTTAAAACTATTTTTAAACGTTTCAAAATATTTCACAAACCCTAGTCTTTATGGGAGTCAAGATGGATAAACGACTATGATTAGATTTGGATAGAAAACGAACTCAAAAGCATTTTGGTTTAATCTTCAATCCGGTTAGAGTTGGAAAATAGGAAAAGTAACACAAAAGCATATAAGCTCTATAAAGTCACATGAGGCACAATTGAAAATTTTGCAAAAATCTCAACTATAATCAACCGTCTTAACAAAATCAATCAGGGATTTCATGGTTTACCAAGAAAAATTTAACTCTATGTTTAGCAAAACTTATAAATTATTTATAATCGATCAAATTTTAATCACATATTTTAATGGATCTATAAGTAATATCTATAGTTAATTTTTATTGATTTATAATGTAAATCGTCTATAAATTCTTTCCAAGTAGAGGTAAAATGAACACATTATTCTATCTCTCAGTCTCCGATTCTTGATATTTTAGGAAGGGAAAAATTCAAAAGTAAGAGGATAAGTATGATCTATTCCAAAATTAAGAACATAAGTTTAAATTTTCAAAAATCAGATATTTTATAAAATTTATTTATAATTTAGTTAATTAATTATATATTTTATTAATTAATTATATTGATGTCACATAACTATATAATTTGGTCACAAATTCCACAATTTTATTGGTCACATTATTTTTAATCACAAATCACGATTTTGAAATGTCATGAATTATTTTACGGTCACGATTCAATAATTTTATGAGTCACAGTTTTTTCATCGGTCACAGATCAAAAATTGATATGTCACAATTTATTTATCGACCACAGATAACAAATTTTATAGGCCACAACTGATGAAACAGTCACAAAATTAATATTTTTTCGGTCACGCATTATTTTTTAATCACAATTTAAATTTTCATTGGTCACATATTATTTAATGGTTACAGATTAATTAATTTAATGCTCACAAATTAACTAAATAATCTGTGACCACCACCAACACTTAGTACCTTCACTGCCTCCAACAGTACCACCTCCATCATCGGCGGCAAAACCACCACCACCACTTAACAGGCAAAACCACCACAACCGCCATCAACCACCTGTACCACCACCTCATCGAAATTGCCAGATCCACCGCCATCACCACAACCACCGGATTAGCCACTGCCAAACACCACCAAAACACCAGATCCGCCATCCACCACCAAATCATCAGATCTGCAACCAAAACCATCACAACCACCGCATCGCAAACCATCACAACCATTGTATCCACCCCAAATCATCACCGCCACCACCACCACTGCCCTCGACCGCCACACAATAGATCGATTAAAAAAAAAACTCCCCAAAAAATCAACCACCAGATTCACCCATACTATCCCACACACAAACAACCCGCCACAACCACAACCACCACCACCACCGCCTACCACTGCACAATAGATCCAATAAAAAAAAAAAACTCCCAACAAAATCGTGACGGCATCGCGGATTCAGGCAGAGTAGCGTTCCAACCACATCTTCACATATACATATTTGGGTAGATCGACATTACAGATTGCCTAACCATATCTTCACATCTACATATTGCCTCAGCCGCAGGTGGTGACACCGTAAGTAGTGGCGATTCGAGGGAGGAGAGAAGATGAAGAGTGGGAAAAAATGATGGCTGCGAGTTTGTGGAGAGTGATACGAGAGAGAGAGGGAATGAAGATATGCATATTCACTGTCGCGATCTGTATATACACCATCGCATATCTCGGCGGCGGCAGCGATCTGTGGGTAGAATGGGTGGTGGAGAGTGATAGGAGAGAAGAGAAAATGATTTGGCCATTTAATTTGGTTACAGACTTGTAGGGCTTGTATTTATAAATTAATTGATCTAATATTATTATTTATTATTAATATAATGATTTATAATAATTAAATCAATATCTGATTTGTAAATATAAAAACCTTGAATTTGATTTTTGAACCCTAAATTTTAACTATAGGTTATCCTGTAATTTCCACTTTTAGGAACCATACACGGTCACACGGATGACGGATCTACATTTGGGCCTTGAGCCGCTTGTGGCCCATTTGCGTGTGTTCGGCCTATCTTTAGTACTGCTATAAATTTTCAACAAGCCCGGGATCAATAGGGTTTTTCAGTTCGCCTCTGCACCCTGCAACGCTGTTGCTCCTCGCAGGTTCTCTTTCGATTTCTCCCTTACACATTGTTGGGATAAATCACTGCATTTTCAATTAATTCACTCGATAATTTCTCTTAAATTTAATCAACCGCATCTGTCTTTATGCTGCAAGCATCTAAATAAGCAGAATTGATTGGAGACGCGATAATTATTGAATGTTTTCTCACATTTTGTTGTTTCAGAGTGAAGGAAGGGAAATATGTCTCACAGGAAATTTGAGCACCCAAGGCACGGGTCACTCGGGTTTCTCCCGAGGAAGCGAGCTGCCCGCCATAGGGGAAAGGGTAAGCATCTTTTCAAATTGAGAATAAACCAAAACTCTTTGAAATTTTGGGATAAAAATGGTTGAATTGATGCATGACTTGCATAAGCTTATATGGTTTCGTGCTGTTAGGAAAAGGATTGCCTCTGTCCTTTCTTTTAGCAGGTCGGTTTGGGTGGTAGAGGGAGGTGGAAAAACTATGTATACGGATGTTAAACAAAAAGTTGCTAATCAGCCATCTAAATTTTGACCTCGAAAGAGTTGACATTGAAGTAAATTTTTATATATTATTAAAAGTTGGAGAAAATTATTTCCATATTAGTTAGGACCTATTGAGTCTGGGAAATGAAAATAATTATGTATTGAGAACTACTTACCATAAGAGGTCTTCTGACGATCTGTTTCAAATTCATGCTCAATATGGTTTTATGCATTATACTAATTTCATTATTTTTATATATTGGCAATTCAGCATGTGGTAGTATGGGTAAAAAAACCTAAATTTCTGGCCTTTTATTAATAGTAACATTGTTCTTTGTCTTGAATAATGCAGTGAAGGCATTCCCTAAGGATGATCCCACCAAGCCCTGTAGGCTAACTGCCTTCTTGGGTTACAAGGCTGGCATGACTCACATTGTCAGAGAAGTCGAGAAACCTGGATCAAGTACGGTTATTCTGTGATAATATTCTTTTTGATATTGTGATTTATTTTCCTGTTGTTGCCTTAATAAACTGTTGGCCACATATCTGCTGATTTAACATTTATTATTTGCACAAGTGACTAAACAAAAAGATGCAGTAAAGTTCGCTCGGAACTTGTCTCTGTTTTCTGTGAATCGTAAATTTTACTATTGTTTTTTGTAACACTTAAAATCTAATTTGGAAATGTTAATTGCAGAACTTCACAAGAAAGAGACATGCGAAGCCGTAACTATTATCGAAACACCTCCAATGGTTATTGTTGGAGTGGTAGGGTATGTGAAGACTCCTCGTGGTCTTCGCTGTCTTAACACTGTTTGGGCTCAGCACCTGAGCGAGGAGATAAAGAGGAGGTTTTACAAGAACTGGTGCAAGTCTAAGAAGAAGGCCTTTACCAAGTATTCAAAGAAACTGGAGACCGATGAGGGGAAAAAGGATATCCAGTCACAGCTAGAGAAGATGAAGAAATATGCATCTGTTATTCGTGTTTTGGCTCACACTCAGGTATCAATGGCTAAATCTTTTTAATTTCCTAGGGCTTTTATCTTTAAAGTTCCAGTTGATTGAGCAACATGCCAATTGGTGGAATACTCATGATGAGATGGGATCTTTGCAAGTTTAGTCACCTTTGGTGTGGTGGGAATATATTCCTTTGGGCACTGAGTACAGTTTACAGAATTTGTTTGTGGACATATAGGAATGCTGTTCTGGTGCTACATACAAGGTCTAGTAATAATATTTGTATTTTAGATAGTCTACAATTTGATGCATTACTCTTCACATGAAATACATGATCATTCTGCTGGATGGCTAAATTACCGGTAAAAGATAGTTATCTGTCTATGAATGGAGTAGTTGGATGGTGCATTACATTTTGGTGATCCCTTACTCGATATTAGATCTTTTTGTTTATATATTTTCCATTCCAAAAGCTTTTAGTCACACTTTGCATAGTCTCCTCGAGTCATTTGTTTAGCAATTCTGGAAACTGAATTGAGCCTTAACAAATGCCCCCTCCCTACCTTCTGCTTTGGCTTCCAATCAAAACCAATGGTGTTTAAAGGTTCGATCGGTGCATCCCTCAGCCATTCCCCTCCCCAGCTGTCTTTATTGAAGCTTGAACTTCCACATTTGAAAGTGGCTACTACAGTTACGTGAAGTCTTTGGCCATCTTGTGCACAAGCACACAAGCTAATCAAATTTCATCTGTTTACAATGCAGATAAGGATGATGAAGGGGCTGAAACAGAAGAAGGCACACTTGATGGAGATACAGGTTAATGGTGGGACTATTGCCCAGAAGGTTGACTTTG